TGTATATATCACGGAAACGAATTTACCCTCTGTAAAAGAATATTCCCTTTACTGTCGAATCAAAGAATAATTCATCTATGTTAGCTTGTTTTGTTAACGATGGGAGGGTGGTGTGAGGCGGTGCGGGGAGGGGGTGATGCGGTACGGGGGCGCAGTGCGGTGCGGTGTGGGGCGGTGCGGGGAGGGGGTGATGCGGTACGGGGGCGCAGTGCGGTGCGGTGTGGGGCGGAGGGCGGTTAGGGGCGGTGCTGACTCCAGGGTGCGGGAGGCTGGTTATTTTGTCACGTCAATAAACCGTACGAAGGCGATTCTTTACCCCTCGCAGGCGTGACCCTATGATAATGGGAGACGGTGTAAGAGTTGCATCCTTTTAGTCCACTCTATTGTAGGGACGATCTCTCACCAATCTCTCCTGAGTACAGATGTTATAATTATTATCACTGAGGAAAGCAACAGAACGCTCACTAAAAGCATTAGGAATGCAGAAAAACGCTCTTGCATTATTCATATGTAAAGTTGACGGTGAAACTTACTTTGTGTAATTTCTGGAGTTCTTACTGAAACACACCATCCTATGTGCACGTCGAACCTCGCGGGGAAAATATACAGCGATGTTTATTTTGGTTATCATTTCATTAGTGTTTAGTGTTGGACGTGTGTATGTGTGTGTGTGTGTGTGTGTGTGTGTGTGTGTGTGTGTTTGTGTGTGTGTGTGTGTGTGTGTTCGTTAGTCTTATTGTACATATAACAGCAGTCAGTAAATATTTGTCTGTGTAAACTCATAATAGTTTCCTCAGCATTGTAATAATAATGGAAATAGTAATAATAATAATAATAATAATAATAATAATAATAATAATAATAATAATAATAATAATAATAATAATAATAATAATAATAATAATAATAATAATAATAATAATAATAATAATAATAATAATAATAATAATAATAGTAATAATAATAATAATAATAATAATAATAATAATAATAATAATAATAATAATAATAATAATAATAATAATAATAATAATAATAATAATAATAATAATATCCAGTAAATTCACCATACAAAATTTATAATAACTTTAGCCTGTATATAGACTTTGTAGAGTATAGTAGATATACAGTACACCATTGTACAGTATCTAGACAACACAGGTATATGATGTACTGTATAGAGACCAATCGTAAAATAAAGTCACCTCATCTTTTTATTTATCGTAAACCTCAGATAATCTTTTACAAAGCTGCTGTTATGATCATTATTAACAAGATTATCACCATTGCTTTTGTTAATCCTTTATTACCTTATAAAATAATAAAAGTCTCTCTCGGGGCATTGGTGAGATTTTGTTATTTTTTGTAACATGTTCACGGATTTTTTAAGATATTTAATTGTTCGTCTTTGTTATATTTTATTTATTTATTTATTTGTGTGTGTTCTAAGGTTGGCTTTTATATTATTTGATTTCTCTTCTTTCGCTAATTATCGACCTAAATGGTACTGTAGCTTTTAGGTCATCGGTGGGCGGGCGGGCGGGCGGGGGGATGGGTGGGTGAGTAGGAGTGGTTAGTGGGTCAGGGTGGGTGGGTGGGTTGGGCAGGAGGGGGAGGGGGGGTAGAAGGATGGGCGGGGTTATTGGGTGGACAGGAAGGTTGGGTGGGCGGGGTAGGTTAGTGGGACAGGGTAGGCGGGGTGGGTGGAACGGGCGGGGTGGGCAGAGAGAATTGGGTGATTAATACATGATAGTGGTGGTGCCATCAGTTGCTAGATTAATAGTGGCTGGTCAGGCACGTCCAGCTCCTCTGTGTGGTGTAGTGGTGGTGATGGTGGTGGTGGAGGTGAAGGTGGTGGTAGTGGAGGTGGTGGTGAAGGTGGTGGTAGTGGAGGTGGTGAGAGTGGTGGTGGTAGTGGAGGTGGTGGTGGTGGTAGGAGGTGGTGAAGGGTGGTGGAGGTGGTGGTGAAGGTGGTGGTGGTGTGGAGGTGGTGGTGGAGGTGAAGGTGGTGGTAGTGGAGGTGGTGGTGAAGGTGGTGGTAGTGGAGGTGGTGAGAGTGGTGGTGGTAGTGGAGGACGAGGAGGAGGAAGAAGAGGAGGTCAGTGGTGTAGTAATGGAAAAGGAGAAGCAATGATTGGTGATGGAGGTAGAGAAGGTGTAATGGTAATGTATCGTGTGCTATTGTTGTCACCCAAGACGGTCATATATCGTGTCTGCTATCGTAAAGGCTGATATGTGCCATTTACCTCCATTGTTGTTAGCGAGACAATCATATTTCGTGTGATAATGTTGTCGTTACCTCAGCCATTAAGGATATCAAAACTATATATTAAGAGGTATTTTCGTCACAATAAACTAAGGAAGAGAAAAATTACCAGAGATATTCCCAGGGCAGCTCTCGTTTCATACCCCTATAACAATGACCTTGACCTTTGACCTAGGGATCCTAAAATTAATAAGGTTGTTCCTCTCACTGAGTTTATTAGACGTCCAGTTGGGTATTTTTCGATGCCTGGGAGATTTAAGTTATGTTTTAGATACCACAAAGGTTAATGATAGCAACAGACAGTGACGTAGGTGACAAGACCCCTCTACTGAAACTGTCTGAGGGGTAGAAAAAATTATCTCTATGACACAGAAAAGAAGAGATAGAATAAAAGTTACACTGAGGGGAAAATTAACTTGAAATACGAGTGAAGTTTTACAAAATACAATTAATAATGCTGATAATGAAGAACATCGATAAGTAATCATTATTAGGTGTTTAGAGTGATATTAACACCACTAATACCTTGGATTACACAGGTGAGGTGGACCTCTGTTTGTGTACAAGACTACAACAACTTGAAACATTTCTCTCCATTAATTCATCTTCATTCTATACACTGACACAAGTACTGGGTGACCTTCAAGTGTGATTTTGATTCTATTTTTAACCACGATTTTTATCATAACTTTAAAGTGAATCAGTTAGAGGCTTTTTCTGACATCTTGACATACATACAGATGGAAATTTAATGTACCGACCTCAACCTGTGGGCTCGGAGGGGTCTCTGGGTGCACGCGCGCGCGCGCGCGTGTGTGTGTGTGTGTGTGTGTGTGTGTGTGTGTGTGTGTGTGTGTGTGTGTATGTGTGTGTGTGGACCATCACAGGCAGGCTTGGGTGAGTAAATACCCTAGGCGGACGACCAGTCAGCCTCACTCCACTAGCTACACATGTGGTATAGCTCAACTTCCCTAACTTTGACTGGTCGGAGTTTTCGTGGCGTCGCCCAGGCATATTTTTGCTTTCCAGTGGTGTGAGTTGACGAGCAAGGCGGAGGAGTTTGTTTTGATTTTTATCATTTGTGTGTGTGTGTGTGTGTGTGTTTTGTGTGTGTGTGTGTGTGTGTGTGTGTGTGTGTGTGTGTGTGTGCGTGTGTGATGGATAGTCGGTGGGAAATATGGCACCTCCGTTTTACAGGCTAAAAATATCGTTGTCGTCCAGGAGGTGAGTGAAAATGGAGAGGATGTTTCTGAGGATTTGTTGACTGTCAGGAATAACGTGTGAGGCAGATGATGCGGCAGGGAAGGTGGTGGTGCATATGGATGGAAGAGTATTGGGTGGGGAAAAATATTGTAGGAGTGATTGATGGAAAGGTAATTGATGTAGGAGTGATTGATGGAAAGGTAATTGATGTAGGAGTGATTGATGGAAAGGTAATTGATGTAGGAGTGATTGATGGAAAGGAAATCATTGGTGCTGTGTTACATGTTACTGATAAAACTGTTATTAATTATATAAGTAGTTGATGCGAAGGTGATTGGTGGAAGCATGACAAAAGAAGTTGTGATTGATAAAGGAATAACTAAAAAAAAAGTGTCATTGATGGGAGTGATTAATACAAAGCGTAACTAATGAAACAAGAAAGTTACGCTGGTCTGTTTGTCTGACTTTGGCCGGCGTTGGACAAGGTGATACTTGGCACCTCAGCTCTTTCAAACGTAAACAAAGCAAGAATTACTAACTGACATACACATATACAGATAAATGACAGGTTAAGGACGACAGTAAGATAGACAGAAAGAAAAACAATTAAAGACAAACAGACAGAAATGGGCTATAAAACGTGATACACTTTAACAGAGTAACACAACCCACCAACCAGCCACTTACTGTTACATACATACATACATACATACATACATACATACATACATACATACATACATACATACATACATACATACATACATACATACATACATACATATATACATACATTCATACATACATACATAACCACAGGGGGGGTGTAAGAGTGATTACGTCCAACTGTCGAGACTAACTTGAAAAATACATAGATGAACTGGGAAGACGGATAGGGAAAGGAATGTATAACTGAGAGGGCGAGAAATTACCTACAAGTAATTTTGGTGTATTTAACAAGTAATTATATATATAAACTTATGAATAGTTCCTTGGTAACGGACAATACATCTCAAAGTAAATAAAAGAGAAATATAGTTCTAAAGGCTTTTGTCAGTTCTTTTATTTCATCATAAACAATAGTTCCTCGGAAGTTTTCAACACTGAGCGATTCTCTCACAGGATGAAACACTCCGGGTTTTGTAAGTCCCGTGAAAATACAGTCTTTTAAAAATCCCTTAAATGCACTAAATAGTCTGATCTGTTTGTTTTTTTTGTCTCGTAGCGTCATTTTTTACTCCTGAAGAATAACAATACCACCAGGTAGGTAATTTGTGGTTGTTAGTGATTGCTCACCTTTAGGGCGAGGATGAGTGTGTACTGTGAGTAATGGCGGGGTAATGTACTGGTGAGAGGGTGATGTATATGGCGGTCGTTTGTGTAATGGTGAGGCTGAAGAGATAATGAAAGGCAGGAGAAAGAAATCCCACAGGTTGTCTCAACACTCAGCTACGATATGGAGAGAGAGAGAGAGAGAGAGAGAGAGAGAGAGAGAGAGAGAGAGAGAGAGAGAGAGAGAGAGAACACTCACCCACAACATGAAGAAGGACCCTGGCGTTGTGTGTGGGTGAGGACTGGAAGTCAAGGCGACAGCGGTATTCGCCCTGGTCGCTAAACTCCACCTCCCTCACCACCAGCGCCCAGCTCCACCGCCGATGCTCCTGGAAGGTGGCACGACCCCCGAAGGCGTCAGACGCTCTCATGCTGCCGCTCCCCTCCTGCTGGTGGTGCCCCCGCGTTCTAGAATCCACACTGTAGGAGCGCAGAGGAAGGAGATAAGGGTTAAAGGTTATTAGAGAATCACGGGGGGAATATTACTGGTGCTACAAGTTATTTTATCTCAGCGTAAACCGGAGAAACACAGGTACAAATGATGTGTCACAAAAACAGTGCCAGACGGGGTAATCAGCTTCGCCTGACGTTTTTAATAACCCACGAGTGATGATATGTTTAAGGATGTTACTACAACTGGTAGTAGGTAGTAGGCAGCTACCAAACAGGAAGGTACTACCGCCTGGGAAGATGTTGGAAGCATAGTGTATTGTCTAATGGTAGACCCTGCTGCCATATGGCATCACGAAAATTGTGACCAAGTCCCAGGTTGGTGATCTGACTTTCTGCCTCATTTACACACAATTGCAGGGTCTCAATTGTTTCTCTTACTATTATTATTATTATTATTATTATTATTATTATTATTATTATTATTATTATTATTATTATTATTATTATTAATATTATTATTACTATTATTATTATTATTATTATTATTATTATTATTATTATTATTATTATTATTATTATTATTATTATTATTATTAATATTATTATTATTATTATTATTATTATTATTATTATTATTATTATTATTATCACATTTTCGCCCCCCAGGCCCCGATGTGGGTCAGTGACCTGTGCCCGGGTGAAGTAGTCCCGTAAAAAAAAGACAAATATTCACCTTCTTTCTGCAATTTCGTCTAATTTTTACAGTAAAATAATAACTAATTATAAATAACGTTGAACAATAATAGACACACATAAGACAAACATGTGGAGCAAATATTTATTAGTTGTAATTTCTATAAGAAGGATAAAGTCAGATATATCAACACTAATCATTAGTTAATCACAATAACACAACTAACCGCAGATAAAAAAAATATGTTGTAACAATAACAGGTAGGAGGGATGGAGACTGGAAACTAAACAAATAACTCGTGTAAATAACTCGTGTGTGAGGTGTTTATTAATTCCGCTTTATAGACAATTTTTTTTATCTTAACGCTAATCATCTCGAATTTCCCTTCCAATATTGACTTCACGAGATTATCCACTCTACCGCCTTAATTCTCCCCCCCTACAAAATTCCTCCTTCTTCCTCATTGTGTCAACCTTCTGCTGAGTCAACACCAATTATACCTTCAAAGACAGAGTTGCCGTCGAGACAAAAAATCAAATAGATTCCCACATAACTCATTTGAATTACAGATTACATCCCGTATCGTCTGTAATTTTCGTATAAAGTTAGTGTGTTATAGGAAGAACCGTCGGTGTTAGTGTGTTAGGGAGAACCGTCGGTGTTAGTGTGTTAGTGACGGTGTTAGTGTGTTAGGGAGAGCCTTCAGTGTTAGTGAAAGCCGTCGGTGTTAGTGTGTTAGTGTGTTAGGGAGAACCGTCGGTGTTAGTGTGTTAGTGACGGTGTTAGTGTGTTAGGGAGAGCCTTCAGTGTTAGTGAAAGCCGTCGGTGTTAGTGTGTTAGGAAGAGCCGTCGGTGTTAGTGTGTCAGTGAAAGCCGTCAGTGTTAGTGTGCTAGTGAAAGCCGCCGTCGGTGTCAGTGTGTTAGGGAGAGCCGTCGGTGGTCCCCCTCAGGTAAAGTATAATATATATCTTGAATCTTGATCGAGTAGGACCTGAGTGTCAGCCTCCAGATGACTCCATTATTGATCAAATGATGATCCCATTAAAGTGATTAAAGATTTGCACCCTTTCTTCTTCCTCCTTGTTTCATCCTCAATACTGTAATCCATCTATCTTATTTTATCCTTCTTTCGTCTTATTTCTTCCTCATATCATTTTCTTCCTTCTTATATCTCCTGCATTATCATCATTTATCTTCTCCAACTTGTTTTCACAATTCTCTTCAAAGATGGCGACGGCGGTAGCGCTGTCCCCGGTGTCATCAATCTTACTAAAGACTTCGGCGTACCACCCACTCCCTCTCCTCCATCACGGGCAAGTGGCTGTTAGTGCGTGTACGTGGGGGTTTATATACAGAAGTGTATGTGTATCGATGATGAAGGTTGTAAATACGTGCGTAGACAATTTGATTTTATACGCATAGTCCCTTCAAATAATCTGTCATCGGCAGTCAGAATGATCCGCTGGAGCGAACCTTGCGAGTCCTCTGGTTCAGTTTTGATTTTCAACCCAAAGATGAGTTAACAAAACGTCGCCGAGTATAGTTGTCGGGTGTCCAAACTGGTGCAGCTGATCACGCCTGGCGATTTTATATACAAATCACTAATGTGAGATCAAGACTAAATTAGAAAGAAAAAATTATGAGACCAATACTGAAAAGAGAAACGTTACCACGCAAGTTTCCACATTACGAAGGCACATAAGTGACACGTCCTCATCTCAGTGGGCCACATGGGTTCTAGATCAACGAAACAGGTATTTGGTAAATTGAAATTGATACAATCGAAGTCTACTCACAGCAATGCGACAGGTTCATTCAGTCCCATGAAGCTCCGACACCTGCTTTGAGATGGTTTATGAATCAGTGTCATGAACCCCGACGGTCAGTTGTATGGCTGCTGTCGCCGTGTTAGGAAGCGTCTCCGTGGAGTGTTATAAAGTGCTACAGTGTCATCGTTGGTAAGTGGTGGTGAACACGGGTTGTATTTGTGTGTTTGTTGGGGTTAATGTGTTGAATATGAGGCTGTACAGGAGGCTACACGGCGAGGAGGTAGTTGTGGGCCGGTGCTGACTCAACCCCGTAACACAACCAACTGTTAAAGCTATATAACATTGCCTTAGTCCCTTAAAAACTCTTGCCAATAACATTTCTCAAGGCCTTACTTGGTAGTATACATAGACATTGTTATAGTTATATGGGAAATAAGGAAATTTGCTGCCAGTGTTTACAAAATGGCGTCTCGGTTCATTCGTGTTGAGTGAAAACCTAAGAAGGGACGGTAAATTTTTTCAAGTAGACAACCATGGATTTTAACATCGGAAAAACACATTGCTCAACAGCCAAAAGACACCTAACCTAACCAAATCAAATAACGTAACGTAACTTAACCTAACCTTGAGGACTGGTGTATTAGTAATCTTATGTGTTTAAGGACCTTCATTGTTGAGGCGCAGTAATAACATTCAACAACAACAACAGTGATTTGGTAAAGTTTCTAGGGTTTTAGTCATTATTTTATCCTCTCAACTAAAAAAGTATCATTACTTTAAAAGAAACACATCCTTCGTATCCTGTCAATATATAACTTTGTATAATTTTTTTTTATAGTACTAAAGTGGGATGGAAGTTTAATCTGATATTTTTTTTCCAGGGAGGTGAAAGTCAACAGTTTATCGAGGGACCTCAACACACCAATCAGGTAAGTCCAAGTCAGTTTTATATATCAGATATTGTGTTTGTAATTTGCTCGGGAGTCTTGCGTCTCCACCAAGTCGCTGTTATCTCCTGTGTTGAAGATCGGGATCACGTTTGCAGTTTAAAGTCGCTTGGGAAATTTTCTTGATCCTGTGGTTTTCTCGATAGTTATTTGTATATATCATTAACTCGATCAACTTCCGGAACTTTAAATTGGATGGTTAGAGACCTCATTTAACAATTTCAGGTTGTTATAGGTTATGCCATCCTCACCAAGGGAGGATGGTTCGCCTTTTATTAGTGCTGTTGTTAGTGCGTGGTGCGTTATAGGAAACTGGTCAGTAAGCTCTGGTGAGGAACAGGCTATTTCAATATTGAAACCCCTATTAATGTTGAATTGAAACATTTTAACCAGAAAAATAAAGATACAGAGTGGATAATAATAACAATATTAACATGGCTGAGTCAGTTAAGAACCTGAGCTCTCTTTGAGGCACCTGATATATACTATACATTTGTCCCAAGGAAGTATTTTGTAACATTTAGTATCATCTGGAATAGTTCAATAGCATGGTGGTAATAAGTACATCTCATAATGTTACCACGATTATCACTTCAATATTTATTTATTTTATTATTTATTATTTATATTTTTTATTTTATATATATATATATATATATATATATATATATATATATATATATATATATATATATATATATATATATATATATATATATATATATATATATATATATATATATATTACAGTACAGTGGAATTGAAAAACATAAGTATAATGAGGGAGCAGTACAACCTGGGTTGTACTGTAATAAGGTTGAACAAGAGGACAGAGCTGTCAGGATTGTCTAGTTGGCAATTATGTTTATTGCAATGGTAATTACTTATTTATTTACATGATAATTTCCGATAAAACGGTTTTGATGGTACAATAAAAGCAGGTACTGTAAATATAGTAAGTGTTACAAGAAATATTAATACTTCGACAATAGATATTTTTTTAGAGATGATTTAAAGGAAGGGAGCGAAGTCTTTGCTCGGATGGGTGGGGGTAAGTTGTTCCACACCTTCACACTGTGATATTTTATGGAGGTCTGGGACTGAGAGGAGCGCATTGGGGGTGGTCGTAGTAGCTCTGGGTGCCTTAAGTTGTATCTCTGATTATTCCGGAACTGGGAATAATTATTGTCAAGCAAGTGATTGATAGATTTATAAACAAAGAGGGCACAGCAGTAAGTGTTAATATCCTCGAATCTTAAAAATTTCAATATAGCAAATTTTTCGTTTGTGTGATCTGTTTTTTCAAGTAGGTCATTGTCCGTACAACTCTCTTTTGTGCAGTAACCAGAGATTGTGTTTTTGAAGAGCCAGAGGCCCCCATAGTGTGTGACAGTGTATCAGGTGTTGGTAAACAAGATCATGATAGATTTCTTTCATTGCTGTGAGAGTGAGTGACTGTCGAGTGTGATACATGATACCGCACTGTTTATTGATTTTACTGTGTGTGGTTTTAAGATATTGCTATATGTCAGGAGGCAGGGAAGTGATTTGTGACACACTAGACCAGGGGTTCTCAACCAGGGGGGAATTCAGGTCGTGGGGGAAACTGATTCGGGA